CGCCTATAAATAAAATGTATATTATTATTATTATTATTATTATTACAAGTAGAAATTACATTGTTAGCAAACAGCTGTGGTTACCATACTTGATTTCTATTTGCTTTTACTTTATTATATTAATTATTGTTTATGCACTAATATACCAAAACAAATTCCTTGTAAATTAAAACCTACTTGGCAATAAACCCGGTTCTGAGCTTATTGTTTTGGTTGATAAAACCTGGCTGTTATCTTGGAGCTCTGCAGGCGGCCTCTGTGTGACGCAATAGCAGCAAGAACAGATTGTCTCAGATTGTCAGCAGCATTCTGTGTGCCTCTGACATTGCAAGTTCATTCATCACTGCTGACAGACAAACAGACAAATGGCACAGAAAACATAACCTCCTTGGCAGAGGTAAGGACTACATTCCAATTAGGTGAGCTGGATCCAGGATCCTGACATTGTGCATCGTGGCCACTGGGCAGAGATTCTTAACTTTGGAAATGAGCCTCCATTACAGGAATATGTTTTGTTGTGAGAAAAGTGTGAAGAAGTAAAAAAGTACAAACATTTTGAGTAAGAAAGATGTTTTGTTTGAAATACTGTGTTATATTTTAGTGTCTCTGCAGTCTCTTGTGCCCTGACCTTTGCACAGCCTCCAGAGACCTATGGTTGTACACTGGCCTGCCCACAGAAATGACTGGGCCCCTGAAAAGCTCCAGTAAATGGGCCCTCTGCAAATCTGCTTTACTCATGTCAAGGCATGCTGTGCTCTCTCTCTGTCTCCTACATAAACACATATACATGCTTGTATTTAGGGTGAACATCATTAGTGCTGGACTGCACTAATGACTGCAGAATGCCCCCCCCCCCCTCCATTACGGTCGGCCCTGGTTGTACACGATCAGATTGCAGATTAGATGTTGTTTTCCAGTAAAGAGGAAGCAAAAGTCCGCTGCCAACTCAACCCTTTAGATGAATAAAAAGGTGTCCCTGAGGAAACATGTGCGTATATCTCGCTCACATGAGGGGAGGCGTCAAAAGAGTTGTGAAGACAAGAGGACGGTCAAGAGTTTTCAGCTTTTAAATTTATATTATTTTTGAGTTCATTACATTCTTTAATAATCTTTTTGAGTTAACATTCTCTATATGTATCCCCTGATGATGTCAAGATAACTGTTTTGATCAGTGAAGAAGGCACGATAAGCTAATGCGACACCAAAAGTTGTGAAGAGACAAGTGTGACAGAGTCATAGCAAGCATTTGAGTAAGCAGTAGAGTAACAGTTAATGGGTTTATATTTGGTAATTCTGTCATTCTCATATTTTAATGGTTTGTGTTACGGTTAAAGTACATAGTTGCAACAGTTACAGTACTTTGCTTCTTTTTTATGTGCAAAATGTCATTCTAACACCAGCAGCAGTAAGTGTGAGCAAGAATATTGTAGTTAGGGCTCCAGCCAATATTATGTAGCTGCAGTACCGGAGGCTGCAGTTTCAGGACCGCCGCAATCCTGGGATCGAATTTCTAGTTCTTTTGTGACAGCGCCTTCTAGTGGAGTGGTGGTGGTAATGCACAGCAACACGAAGGAGGTTAATGTGCGCAGCTGTAGGGTTAACCGGTCGACATGCATAATCAATGGCTTAAGTTTAGGCACACACTCGGTGATGGCTGTGGTTAATTGGCTTCGGGGGGCTGTCCAGAGAAACATAGCGTTTGGATGTTGGATTGTTTGTTTTGCATCTGCATTTCCTCAGAGCTGGGACTGGATTTATGTTTATCATCATGAAGCTCTGCAGTAGCTCTGAGTAACTGGAGATACAAAACGAGTACACAGGTCTTTATTTTCCAGATTATTCCCATACAAATGGATCTTCTGCTTTCATACGGCATGAAAACTTTTAATAAAACATACGATCAACTCTGGAAAGGTAGTTGTGATATGACGATATGATGTGAAATGAGGGCAGCCCTACTACTATGCTATTTTATTTTATAAACACCAGCATGTCCCTTAATCATGAAGATAATTTACAGCATTTTACAGCACTTTACTTCTGGCTTTTGTCTGCCTCAAATCTGCGTGTTCTCTTTTTCCTCTTCTCCTGTGAATTTTTTCTCCACACTGTTCGGCCACGCACACTCACGCACTGACTGAATGCTGTGTTGATGTGTGTGTGCATGCAACCATGTTAGAAGCAGATGGGAGGCCGACGGTCTGCAGGTCTATAGCCCCTTTCGACTCGCCTTTGTTTGGTTTTCCATTATGGAAAAGTTGTACCTGTTCCTGCTACCAGGTACCTTTTTTCGTATCACCTCCGTCGAGGTTCCAAGCAGCTGAGGCGATACTAAAATGTGAGGTGAAAACACAGCAGTCGCTCAACCTTCTGCCAACTTTTTCATTATTAGTAAAAAAGTATAGGCTAAGGAAGGCGGCCCACCGGCCCAGAGGTTGGCCGGCCTACTGGCATTTGTCACGTGTGGATATACAACACAACCCTACAGTGATATACTGTGATACTTATTACTTATGATTGCTCATATGATACTCAATATTGTGTGACATGCTTATCTTGGGTAACTCAGCAGTTAAGACAGTTAGAGGCTTGTGCTGAATAACAGGAAACCGGGCCCTGACAATAATACACTCTGACACACTTCACACTTTTCTGAATACAGTCACACACACACTCACATGACAGCCCTTAAGGCACACTAGAAATATTCTACACCTATTGACAACTTCCATATAAGGTAACATGGGATGTGCAGCTGGGTGATGTCTCATCAACACATACACAGCTTAGCGGAAGAGCAGTCAGACCCTTACTTAGGTAGCGCGCAGGAAGGGTCTCCAGATATATCTGTATTAATAAAGGTGTGATTTAAATCTGATCTCTCGTCTCCTCTAAGTCCTTTTACATGAAACAGCTCGGGGAAGTCGTTGTACTTCAACACAAGGTACTCCAGATGGCCAGACCGCTACTGCTGGTAATGGAAAAGCGGCTTATGGGACTGTGGCTGCCCTGTGACAGATTATTCTTTTATATTCTCTTTGACTAAAGTCTGGATGTCATATTTGGCGAACACACCCAGGCGAGAGAGGTGAGAGAGTGAGACAGTTGTGTGGACTCTCCTGCTATTAAAAAAACTTGCTTTGTCATCGCTGCCGCTGGTTAAGTTGATAATTACCGTCAGACCAACACAGCACTCAGGCCACCACGGCCGTCTGCTACTTTAATCTCCACAACGTCTTCTTGTTTACAGTGTGGTCGGTCAGTAGCGCACAAGACAATAGGCTTCACTAATGGACCAATGAGCAAACACTATGTGCAGGTAGTACTCATGGGAGTTGTAGTGTCGTAGTGTCACATTGAGACTACTATTCACCACCCTACGAAGTGGCTAGTGGGAGTCACTGTGTTACCCGCCACGACGGAAATCCACCCTCACTTGGCAGGTTGGCGGGTGTTAATGTCAAGCCCCAAAAGGTTTATAAGGTCTGGATATACAGAGTGGCCCTCAGAACATAGTACTAAGAGTGAGTAAGTGAGATATTAGTATAGCAGATCAAAATGTATTTCCTGTATTCAGCACCTTTAACACCAGTGATTACAAATTATTTATAGTAAATTTCCCACCAATACACATAATTTACACAGAAGTTATGACAAGGAACGTGATAATAGGGAGACCAAATTACAGATCAGTGAAGTAACTTGGAGTCGTTCCAAACCGTTTTTGTCAGAAACTCCAGGTCAGATGAACTTATACACTCACTCCTCGTCATCAACATTAGATTATCCAGTACCTTTAGTCAAATACTTCAGCTGTTTATCCATGCTGTTTGTCAACTACTTGTTGCTAATTATTTCAACTTTTTTCAAGTGGCAGTTAAATGTATTGCTGTGTTTATGAGGTAAACTGTATCAGATAATATTTTAAGCATTTGACTGGTGATGGCTTTCAAAAGTCGACACAATTCAGATTGTTCATAATCAACATTTTGAGAACTTGAGTTTATAAAGTTTACATTGTTAAACATATAGAGATGCTGCTGGTGTAAAAAACAGACGCAGCTCTCTGTTGGAAAGAAAAAGAAGTAAATGTCTGGTGTTGCAGAGATCACATCACGTTCCATAACACCACACATCAAATGTGCCAAATGCTTCACAGTATAAATGGAGATGTACAGTACCTTGTACTGAGAGGAGAAGCACAACAAATCCACTCGCTGCTGTTAAACTCATAGCTGCTCCTTACGTCTGTTAAGTCACATCAGCAGGTAGATCAGATACATGAGAAATCCTGTATGTCAGTAAGTCACTGTAAACATTCCTAATGAAAAGGGGAGGATGTGGTCTTTGACCAGTTTGTCTCTCTGGGTTTGTTTAACAGACACTGACGTGTTAAAAGCTGCCCTCTTTACATTATGCAAAGATGAATGTCTGTTAAACTCAAGTGTCCAAGTTAAAATGAATCTTTATTATTCTTACTTGTTTTGCATGATGCAGAAACAGTGATGTTTTATGAGTGAGTCCCAGTTGTGTTTGTCTCTTGCAGGAGGAGGACAAACATTCACGCATCATCACAGGACTAAAGCATTACACATTCCTGCTGATGGTTACACACATTTCCACTGATCGACAGTTGTTGGCAGTAACTTGCAAAGAAACAGAGCGATGTGCAAACATGCAGGACTGAAAATATTCAAAGGATTCTGCCGTGGATGACTTTGCTCAGGACCAAATTTTGATTCAACATCTTCTTCATGACTCTTGTACGTGCAAGAAATGTCCACTAGTGAGCCTTTGGAGACACATATGCCTCTGTTAGCGTGCAGTGTTTGACTATATACACCTGACAGAAAAACGGCACAGGTACAACCACATTTTTCACTGCAGTAACACAGAGCAGGCAGTGCTACTGTAGAGCTCAATGAGAAATGCATGTTGCTGATATAGAAAGGGGAAGTGAGGTCACTCACACATATACTGTGTATATAGGCCTACCATATCTATATAGTGTAAGATGAACAAAACAGGAGGACTGTACTAGCTGACTCTTATGTTGACCATTCACTCCGGTCAGAATGCAGCTGACGGGACCTCAGTGTTCATTCTCTGCACTTTATTAATCACATTGGAGGCAGAGCAGAACACAGGGCACTTAAACAGACTTTAGGTTTAGATTTGTGAACTTGTGAAATACAACAGAAATAAATAATAAAGTTTAGTGCATATACATAGCAGAACATTCACCATTATGTACACGGGTTCCCTCAGGTTAACGTATTCGTAACAGAGGAACAATGACATTCACATCACCTGCTCTCCTGTTCAAACATACTGTAGGTAAAGATCACCTTCTAGTCTATATTACTGTAACACCCTCTTGATCGTGACCCGGGCTGGTGGCTGTGTGTGTGTGTGTGTGTGTGTGTGTGTGAGTGGCTTTTGATTTGCCTTTTGGGTGTTTGCTGTGTGCTTGGTGGGTTTTGTTTTTGTCTGTCTTCTCTTCCATGTCTCCTGGAGCTGGTGGGCGTGGTCTCCAGTTCACTACGGCTGTCGCACACTTGTTCTCTGTCTCAATCAAGCACCTGTTCTGCATTCACTCATCACCGCTCACTACTTAACCCTGGCCAGATCTCCAGTCCTTCTCAGATCGTTGTGTAACCTGAGTACGCTTCACACCAGCCTCTGATCACAGTTTAAACCAAAGTCTAGTTAGTTCTCTGTTTCCTGTTTGCCTGCTAATCTGCTCTGTCTTTCGTCTTCAGGAAATTCGCCCTGTTCCCCCTGGGTTACCTGTCCTCCCCACCAGCCTGCACAGTCGTCAGGAGTAATCCCCACCTCCCCCCGCCTGCCAGCTCCCACAACTTCTCCCTCCTCAACGGAACCCGGACCTTTCCCCGATCCCCCTCAGCTCACCTATTCCCTCTCTGTTCGTTGTAACCTAAAACCATAAACCTCTTAAATTCACCATCGGCTCCGGTCTGCTTTTGGGTACTGCTTCAAACCCTGACAATTATCCTTCCAAATACCGTTAATGTCTGTGAAATAGCGACTCTAAACACTGAGCTAGCTAGTAAAGGTGAATACTCCCACTGTACACTGCAGTGGTGAAATCACTAAGCTCATCATAGGGCTGCTGCTTTTTATTTTATTATTATTATTATTATTAGGTTTTTTTTACATGCTGTATGTGCAGTCATGGTACAGCACATTAACTAAAAGATAACTATGGATGGAGTTATGTAGGCCTACAACGCACAAAGATACACTCAAGGTATAAAGTAGATTTGGTAAACAGAAATAAACTATATTCAGTGGAGCAGTGCTGAGGATGAATTTGAGTTTAATCTGTCTGATAGTTTGGGGGGTGGTGGTGCTGGTGGTGCAGCAGCAGCTGAAACTTCTATATCTCACCTGGGGCTCCGTCATACGGTGACTGGATCATAGGGTCACTCCAACAACCTCATGGCAAGCCATCCCACCTCTCCCACCATTTGTAGCGAAAGTCATCCTACCCGGGTCTACAGGGTACTAAACATGCAACTTGCCCACAATGTCAAAGACCCTGGCTTCTTATTCTTAGGCCGGCTGGGATTTTGTTCTTTATGTGCTGAAGAACCAGTTTCTCAAAGCACTTCATCAGAATGGGGGTGAGTGCCACAGGAAAAAATGAAACCACAGGAAACCATGTCACAAAGCTTAAATCATCACAAACTGGTTTCTGAACATGACAATGAGTTCACTGTAAATCAGCAACTGCCTGATGCTATCATGTCAATATGGACCAAAGTCTCTGTTTCCAACACCTTGTCGAAAATATGGCACAAGGAATTAAGGCAGTTTTGAAGACAAAAGGGGATCCACCCCGGTACTAGCAAGGTGTACCCAATAAAGTGAGTGAGTGTATATTGTAAAAGGATTAGGCTAGTGGGGGCTATAGCCTCGTCACAAATCTGCATAGGCCCAATTAAACACCCTCAAGCAGTTTTTTGATCAAGAAGTGAAGACACGGACAAGTCAGGCCAAGACCCTGTCTCTGAGGAGGGCAAAGAAGGAGAAAAGAAAGCAGTTAGAGAGAGAAACATTTGAGGGAAACTCCTGAGCCAAGACATGAGGATGAGCATGTGGTTGATATAGATGTACCCAAATCTACACTGGTTGCTGACACTACACTTATGTCAGCAACCGGTGAAGAAGCAAAGATGTTAACTAGTAAAAGGCGACATATTCTCTTCTTCCATTTCTCCTCTGTTGAACAAAAGTTACTGTAATGTTAGCTTTTAGACACATCAAAGCTGCATGGGGGCAATTTACTGAGGCCAGACTTTTGCTCATGTAAATGTGTGATAAAGTTATACCATATCTAATTCCTCCCCCTATTAGATAAGTTGCACGTCCAAAGTATGTTATTTAATTACACTAATTACTGTGATTTTGCTCTGTAGCTTGGCTTACATACAATCAAACAATAACTTTATTGTTTGAACAATAACTTCAAACAATAAAACATAAAATCAATAAACAATAAAAAATAAATCAAACAATAACTTTATTCATGTAAGCTGTTGATAAGGATCCTTTTTAATGTGGCTACTGTCTGAATATCATAATCTGATGGCGGAAGGAATAAAAGATTTGGAGTAATGATTACTGTATGTATGTATGACTGCTTTCATTTATTATATTTTTTCATTTATTATTTCATTTATATTTGTTATATGTGTGTGTACGGTAGGCCCTACCTGTGGGCATACGCTCATGTATAGCCTAGCCTACATGTAGGCGACATCTATATATAAATTTAAATTTACTCTAGCCAATAAATGCAGAAAGTTAAGTTGGTCAGAATAAAGAAAATATAATAAATATCATGAAATGAATTTGTTTAAGCTATGCTTTGGTGCCGCTACTGGCAGACGACTACTGACCTGCAGACGACTACTGACCTGTAGACCAGTGGCCTACTGACCCCATAACCCCAGCTCCCTCAGAATCAGCAGCCCTGCCAATCTCCTGCTTCTCTCTCTCCTTAAATATCTTTGAATATCCATCTGGTCAATGAACGAAAGAATATGCAGGTGCAACAGCATTAACAGGGACACTGTGACATTTAGTTTTCACTGACAAAACTCTATGGGGACTGATATTGTTTTGAAATATAAGACTTTAGTTAGACTAGCTAGACTGTTTTCCATTGCCAACTAAAATCCTCCCTTTCCTTTACCTCAAGTAAACTTAGCTAAAGTTAAGCGAGTAACAGTCATTTAACAACAGCTTACAGTTTCACTCTGTGTGACCTTTGAAGGGTATTTATTGTTTTCCTTTTGTTTACATTTTGAAATCCAGATAGCTCTGATATTGACTGAGGGACAATTTTAAGTGGTCTGCAGTCACTCTGAAGTGATACTGAGTCAGTGGAAACAGGAGGTTTTCTTTATTCATCAATCTGAATTTAGAAAAAGTCAGTGAAAATCAGACATTTTTTAGATATTTATAATACCGTTTATTTAATTATTCCATTCCACCTTTCATTTCTGCCACACATATTGAATATTACATCATGTTCACCAGAAGCTCACTATTTAGAAATCTGCTGAGACCTGTTGTGACCGTAATGCCTAGAAAACACATCACAAAACAAAGCGGGGCTGGCTTGACCGCAGTCATTGTTGAGACAGATTATACTGTATGTGCAATGTAGACATAGGCTACTAATAATAATGCCATCCACATTAAATAACATCAGTAATTCCCAGTGTCTCATACAGAGAAGGAAATAAAAGCAGATTAAATCTAATAGCGCAATTATTGTCCTTTCAGTAAAGGTTATAGGCCTTGTTCAGCGATGATAAGCTTCCTTAACCTTTCTCATATTTAGGCTACCGCTTCTTTTCTCATAATTGCAAGATATGGTGTGGGGTAGGGGCAGGGAATGACACCTTCAGGCTATCAGCCACTTTGAGGGACAGGGAAAGAAAAGAAAGACACATTAGTTCAGGGATCGGCGCATGCCTGCGTCACACGCTATACACGCACACAGCTTCAGTACAGTCAGCTCAGGAAATACCTGTGGTGGCGTTTCCAACCAAACTCACGAGTCCGGAAGAAGCACAGTCCTGAGTGGCAGCCAGTGCGTCCTGAGTGACAACCAGTGAGTCCTGAGTGCCAGCCAGTGCGTCCTGAGTGACAGCCAGTGCGTCCTGAGTGACAACCAGTGAGTCCTGAGTGCCAGCCAGTGCGTCCTGAGTGACAACCAGTGCGTCCTGAGTGCCAATCAGTGCGCTGCTTACCAGCAGCAGCGGCCGATCTACGGAAAGTAACTCTGGTGTTGTCGGACAATCACTCAGCTTGTCTATTAGACACTAGAGGCAGCACTTGCTTTTATTTTCGTTTGGCAAACTTTTGAATTGAAACTCAGTATTTTTTGTTTCCTTGCTGGGAAGTGGAGGGTTTCTTTGAGCTGTGGACTCTTGAGGAGATTGGAAGTGGGATAAGGACTCATTCACTGGTGGTTGAACGTTGGGCTTTGAATTGAGCTGGATAATAGCCTACTCTTTGGTGAACGTTATATGATATTATTTAATGCCATGACTTCACCCAAATTATCTTTCTGTTGAATTATTATAAAGTGACTTCTTGTCCACTGCTCATCAAGCAACTTATTTTACTCTGTGCCTGTCTAATGTGCTTCTTTCTTATCGTGGCTGACATAAAGAGTAATGATATATTTTGATTGTGCATCTTCAATTGAATCACCTGGTTGTTTAGTAAGGTGGAGATATAAAAGACTTGAGTCCTTTGTGCATGCATACATAAAAAGATTAAACATTAAATTACATTATTAACATTAAATGATTCCTCAATTAGCTGAAGGCTATTTCTTTATTTAGCACATACATTTAATAAGTGGCAGATAGAATTTCTGAGTGGCAGACAAAAAACTACTTATTTTCAGACCCTGTGGTTGTAGGGTATAGCTTCAGCCCCCCTAAAATAGGCCTATGTCCATATAGTATGGATAATACATAGCCTACACACACACATCTATATATATTGTGTTTGGACTAATTATATTTGCATTTGTTCCTATTTTGCATTGCAACTGCTGCACAACAATTTCCCTCCAGATAAATAATCTTATCTATCTTATAGCCATGCTATTCTTGAAAACTACACAGTAAATCTCAGAAAATAATGGATGTCACTTCACTGTGTTTTCCATGTCTAATAATGTTGCTGATCACAGAAAAAGTGTAAAAGTACATCTTAAAGTGAGAGACAGAGAGATGTGTTGCTTTGGCTGCTGCCAGCAAGACTTTCCTATGAAAGCAACACATTTCATTATACTGTGAAGACACAGGATGGAGATTAATCTCTTCAATCTCTATGAAAGACATATTATTGGTATGATGGGACAGGGTCTGTATTTATAAACCTTTGCAGACTAGAAAATTGTCCTAACTTTCCCAGAACCTCATTTTAGGCTGAGGTGCACAAGCATTTTATACAATTTCTCAACCAAGAAATGATCCTTATTTTAGGATATTTGTAAGAAATAATAATTTTTATTCATTAATGATAATTACAAACTTTTCTTTCTGAATAATAAACATAAATCCAAAACTTTCTGTACACTGTCGCCCTCTGCAGCAGTGAGAGGAAACTGAAATGATGATCAAACTGCAGAGTTGTTTATTCAGCCACTGCAACACTAGCAAACTGTGATAGAGCTGGGCTTCTGTTTGATTTCACTGTTTAAATATAGACTGTACATGCTGTGATTTACTTAGCTTCGAGTTTGATGTGTCTGTTTTGAACAGACTTTATTGGTATTCAATGCTAGGACAGGTGTGACATAAAAGGGCAGTATTTCAGAAAAAAACATTTTTCTGAGTTAAATCCTGTGCTTAATGTAATGTCCCTGCACAGGTAAAACTAAAGCTACATTCTATTTAAATATTTTGCTACATGCTGCGGCTGACGTCTACAACTGAACATGTTGATGGAGTTGAAGTTTAATGTATCCACGTCCTCCACTGGACTGCTACAATGTTGTACTTCTCTCTGTTTCCATCCAGGTGACTCCCCTCTGGTTTGACTGTATCAGAGAAAGTCACATACAGTTCTGGTTCAAGGCTGAGGAGTTCACTCAGTCCTACAATCAGGACCAGAGTCCAACTGATTGGGAGAGAAAACAAGATGAGAGTCCTCTTAAGGCCTCATAAATGGAATTTTAATAATTACATTTTATATTAAAATGTACCCAGACATGTTTAAAGCAAAACTGTTCTCTCAAATTTGTCTTTGCCTCTGAATGTATAAGCCAACAAATTAATATACTTTGGTAGAGTAAGTTCTGTCACTGTGGCCCAGCAGCTTTCTCACCTCTATAGTCTCTATGGGTTCATTTGGTTCAGCGGTGTAGCTCAGAGTTTTCCTATTCCTGAATCAAAAAACAAACATAAATAAACATTTTGATCTATAACTCAAAACTATGAAAGAAAATATTCAAAGTAAAAGATCAGTGATGGAACTGGTTAATTCTTATATTCTTATTTCACCTCATCCACAGACAGAAAAAAAGCAGAGCAATCGGCGTCACAACCACCAGAGTCAACCTGATGATATTTATTATCACTGAGGATTTCTCTAGAAATGGAGATAGACAGTTATTAGATAAACTGTGCTGGACCTCATTAGCAGAATTTGTTCGTCACTTTGCCAGGAGATCGTCTTCTGTTAATCAGCCAGGTAAAAACGTACCTGCCACAACAATCAGATGTAAGGTGGAGTTATGACGTCCTCTTCTGTTCTGGGCTTCACAGTAATAATTCCCACTGTGTTCAGCTCTGAAGTCAGTGATGGTGAAGTTCTGTCCTGATGCTTTTGGTGAGTCTTCATTCTCCTTGTACCAGGTGTATTTAGCTGCTGGGTTAGCATCACTGCTGCAGGTCAGAGTCACTGAACTGCCCTCCACTATCTCAGCAGAGGGACTCACTGACACAGAGGGAAGCTTTGGAGCATCTGGGGGAGAACATGTATAGAAATACTAAGGAAAACAAGATTTGGTAGTTGTGAGTAGGCTTATTGCCAGTGTTGTGTCTCAGTAAAAAAAACTACTATCAGGAAATATCCCCCCAAAGCCCTATTTGTGTCCTCAGCACGCTTCATGTTACTCCATGATTTGGTTTGTGGTCTACAGTAACAGGGTTCTTTCATACTTAACCTGTTTGGTCCAGTTAAACAAACTCTGATGCGTTTGCCCAGTTAGTACCAGTCTGTCCTCACCAGAAAAGCAACCATAATATGTTGTTTGACTCATATTTACTTTTTTTGTGGCTGAGACCTCTAGTGGCCGTATGACGGTAGCAAAGGAAGAACAGGAGACGAGCATTCAAGTCCCATGTGACACCAAGTCAGTGTTATTATTTGAGTTCAAGTTAAATAGTGTTACTGACTTACCTCATGTGAGTTAAGTCACATGATGTATTGGACTTACATCATGTGACTTATGTCACGTCAGTTAAATCTCTTGATTTATGTGACATCAGTCATGTGACTTACATAACGTAGTTAAGGTCTGGTAAGCCTGTCGCTGGACTGGTACTTTACGACGGTTATATATGTAGTTTTAGAAGGCACTGACAAATGACCTAGTTTGTCATTTAGGTAAGAGGACGTGTTGGTTAGTTCGGTTCATTTAGGCTGATGTGAAAGCTGCCAATCGAACTCTGCTGAGATCAGGAACGCAACAGTGGATCATTTTTTCCCTGGTCTGGACCAAATGAACCAAACGACAGTTGTGGAAGGAGTCTTAGAAGATAAGTCAAAACGTTTACGTTGTTATCCAGCAGCAGCTTGCGTCTTAAAAAGCATTTTGTTGACCTCACAGATGTCTACTTTCTGTCTGGACATATTAAATGTTAGCTCGGAGCAAAGCCAATGTCCAATATTTTCTCAGACTGTGCCGCTCTCCTTCTCCTTTGCTGGAAGCTGCAGTCTGTGGAAATACTGCATTGAACTTTTTCACTGGGCAAACCCTCGGCAGACAGTGGACATCAGTGGAATTACAAAAATATAACCTGTCGCTGGATAACATTTAAAAAACAATGTGTATGGAACGCTGCGTGAATGACAGAGTAACGTCAGGACACCAATGGGGCTAAACCTTCTGCTGCAGCTCAGCAAAGATTCACTGTCTGAACAAACACCAAAAGGAAATTTTGCACTATAACAACTGTAATTTTGGAAGTTACAGTTAATTCATGAAACTCAGACTGTTGAAGCCTCAAATTCGCTACATGTGAACTCTGAAATGCATGTTGCTCTATGAAGGTATCTCTTCTTCACCAGGAGGAATGATTAGTGACCAAAAACTATTTTAACGTACAAATGGCATGTGACTATATTATAAGTTAGCATTAAATAATCTGAAATGATCCTTTAAACCCCTGTGATGCTACTTTAGAACATGATAACGTTAACGAGCTCATAAACTCACATTAACATTCACTATCTGTAATTAAATACATTGTATGTGGAAGCGCTTTGCTGATGTTTTGTACTTACACTGGACATCTATGGATACAGATGTGGAGTTGATCTGGCCATACTCATTCTCAGACTTGCAGTGGTAGATCCCGCTGTCCTTAGAGCTGATAGAGGTGAAATGATAAATGTCTCCTGGTCCCTGAATCAGTGTTTGGTTCTCCTTGTACCAGGTGTATTTAGCTGCTGGGTTAGCATCACTGCTGCAGGTCAGAGTCACTGAACTGCCCTCCACTATCTCAGCAGAGGGACTCACTGACACAGAGGGAAGCTTTGGAGCATCTGGGGAGAAAAGAGAGACAACTTGTCAATATTTGTTTACAGGCCGGTTTTTAGGCATTTTAGGACTTTTTCCCCAGGTCACGTGCAGGCACGTGCTTCAGTGAACTAAAATCTTACAATGCTTAATATATCCTTGCTTATTGAACTAATGTCTTCAGTCTGTAGATGATGATAAATCACATTTATTACACCAGTTGATGGGTGCCCCATAACACACAACAACTGTTGTTGTCAGATGGCACCAAGTATTCTAGAAAAACCTGCCAGAAAGTCAGACCAGCACACAGCAGCAGACCATCATGACCGCTCAAACACAGACCCACACAATGCTGAACCAGAACCAAAGACACTGTCATAATGCAGTCTGCATTATCATCTCTGATTCCTAATTCTTATTATTTTAAGTTTAGTTCAAACTGTCTCAAGTTTCAACTTCCTCTTTCTTAGCAAATGTCTCCTTTGCTCTTGCTCATATTGACTATGAATGAAATGTAATCTACACTCAGTAAAGCAGTAGTCATACATTGTTGGGGAATTGGGAATTTTTAGGTCTCAGTAATATGAAAAGTATGGTCTACATCTGCTCTACATAAAAAATGCAATGAGATGACTTTTCCTATGAATTGGGCGTTCTATAAATAAAACTGAAACTGAATATGTTTGAAATAACAAACTTGGTTTTTAACATTTACTGTACTTAGCCAAGATTTGATGAAATAATGAACCTATATTTGCCTTAAAGGAAATTGACTTTTAATTAATTTTTATCAATGTACTGTATATTTATTGTTATGTTGTAACTATTGTTATTTCATCTTGTTTTTTCTGTGTACTATGGACCTTCCATTTTGAGTCCTGAATAAAGTAATTATTATTATTATTATTATTATTATTATATATTGATGTCAAAATGTATCTCTACAATAACTAATCCAAAATGATATAGGCAAGTGGTGAAAAGTAGTGTGGGCTATCAGCTGCTAACATCAGATGGCTCATTTTAGGTAAAAAAATCTTAATTACGAAACTCAGAAGTAGGAACGTTAAGTGTATTAAAGAAGCATCAACCTTCAGTGTCTCCATTAGCGTTTGAAGCCCTGGACTGGAGCAGCTGCCGTTAGGAGTGATGTGGGCAGACAAATTTTCAAGCTTTGGCAAGTGCAAGTTCATTTCAACTTACATGGCTTTACTTAGAGGGGAGCTGTGTGCAATGTCCATTTGGTTGGCAAAGCAGTAGTGACATCACATCTTTCAACATAGTGTCAGGCATGTTGAGAAACAGGTGATTGACCTCCTGTGGTTTTCTACACACAACTGGTAAGATATTAAACTCACCTTTTTCAAGCCTTACTGTGAAATGATTTGAAGAGCTGTATAGTGGCCACCTTCAGGATGAATCCTAAATCAAATCAGTCAAGCAATAATCCAAAGAATAAAATATAATCATAATAAAATAAAAATATGTCCTCTAAAGAATCACAATTGTGTCGAGGAGATTATTATAGGGAGTTTTCCATTATTATGTTTCTATACAATTTCAGAAAGACCGTTTGTTACACACAGACCTGAAATCTAAATTCAGTTAAAAGAGGATGAGAAGTACTGATGATTGGATGTAACTGAGGCCTGCTCCAACTCCACCTGCTGTTTCTGTGTTCCTCCTGCTAATAAAGTGTTCACTCTCTCTTCCACGTTGACAGCACTGTGTCCAGATTGCACTACTGCTAAGATTTTCTCCTGCAAAGATATATTTAATAAGCTGTTTGTTATATTTAAATAAACTGTTCCACTCACATTTCACATTAATGATGTATTTAGTTGTCCTCCTCCCCAGCTGGTTCTCAGCTGCACAGTAATACTCTCCAGAGTCAGAGGACTGGATGGAGCTGAAGACAAGCTGTGGTTCTTCACTGAGCAGAGTTTGGTTCTCCTTGTACCAGGTGTATTTAGCTGCTGGGTTAGCATCACTGCTGCAGGTCAGAGTCACTGAACTGCCCTCCACTATCTCAGCAGAGGGACTCACTGACACAGAGGGAAGCTTTGAGCATCTGTAGAAGGTATAAACATGAATTACTGAAATGCTAGACTATGTTATAGACGATTGACTATTTTCATAAAATTTCTCTGTTTGTGTCTTTTTGATTCTCTAGTATTTGACAAAGTGGATGTCCATAGTGCTGATTCTGGATCTGTCCCAGGTCTGAATCCTGTTTGTTGAAACTGATCTAATCATTTGGTATTTTCAAAAACACAATTTGTCAGTGGTCGCAGCAGCACTTATGTGTTTCAGATTTACCACTACTAAAGACCGTCTGTCTGTCGAGTCTGTTGGCAACAAATCTTCAGAGACTGGTAACTCCATTTTAAAGCTTTACCATGAAAAATTTTAAGTTGCAGACTAACAATATGCATCCTGTCTTAATGAAAATGTTATACGTCTAATATTCCTGAATCTCAGAAATTTGACATAAGAGTTATGAGTTAAATCACAACATGAAGGCACGTGCACACATAGACATTAAAAGGGGCTTGAGCAGCTGCCAGAAAGTTTCCTGACTTAAGCAGTAACTTCATCATTTTGATCGTAGTCTCCTCATCTAATAACTATCCATTCTATTAGTTTGTTGTATGCTGATAGATCTTTACATGATACAGACAGCCCTCCCTCAAATGTGAAACTAAGTCTATGACACCATCAGTTATTGTGTGTGTGTGTGTGTGTGTGTGAATACTAAAGAAGACCACGGTGTCTGTTTGAACTGATTATTTTCTAGAAACAATTGCATGAGTGTGAGGAATTTAAAATAACTTGTTAAGAAAGTCAGAGTTGTGTTAATATATTTAATGTTTGGTTTAAAAAATATTTAATAAATAATTATGAGAAGTTCCCTTTTTTAACTTGAGGCCCCGCCCACCAAAATGTCTGTGCATGTCCCTGACAACATGTATCTGAATACTGATTTCTACTGGTGGTATTTTTTTAATTTCCATAAATAATGCTGCTGTGTTTATATTAACATCTAGAAGATTCCAAGAAGACTTGTGTCTGAAATTTTAAT